ACTTTTACGGATGTACCTCGTTCAGCAAGTTCCTCTCTCTTCTTTGCTTCTTGCACAGCCCGCCTGTTTTGCTCTTCCTATTAAAAAATTAGTTTGTTAAAAAGCAAATGAGTGTAGACCTATAAGTAAAGATTCATACCTTCTCTATCGCCTGTATGCGACTTTCACTATTGGGTTCTATACCGGTAATCTGCATGCAGATACTTTCCATCGGAGCTGGATCAGGTGGATGGCATCGCCTTAAACAAACCGTTGAAAGAATTTGCAACAATTAATAGTTTTATTTAAAGGCAGAGATATTTTGCAGCATTTATGACTATCTATGAACGTATTTTTTGATCCAAATTATAGCATATTAGATGTGAAATGGTTATCAGTAAATTTTTGCAAAAGATGCTTACTTGGAGTCGGAAAAATTGTGCACATTATTCTCGACAGCTGATACAACACAACAAGTTCAAACGCTTAAAGCTACGAGGCCTATGCGGTGCGGTGTTTGCAAAAACAGGCAGAAACGATACATCACTTTGATCTTCCAGAATGTATTTGATGTATCTCAACACCCTAAACATAGTGGTAAGTAATACTGTCTTAGGGACACCACCAGATCGTTTTGGGATTTGAATGCAGTCCACTACAAAAAATCCAAAAGTCTGGCAATTCCTATTTGTAAAAAGGTGGCAACAATTTTGCAGAAAAATCTGATATTCGCCAACTTGTACAATAGTATCACAAGAATTAACACCATGTGAACAATATTTTACACTTTCCTGATCTCATATTTTTAATCTTCAATTATTACTCCAAAATGGTTTCAATTTGATAAACAATTCAGCCAAACTCACTTAGGATCTATAAGGGCGCTCATGCTCTCTATGCATGCTGCATAAGGGACGAGTTGTTTAGCTGCGGTAAGCACGTGGCGTGCGGTTTCTCTCAGCGATAGACATTCTTCCACCTAAAAAAGTACAGAAATCTTTGAACATATGCAGTCACTTTTAAATGTATCTCTACTACACTATGAACCAGTCAAACAACATTTTCCTATAGAAAATACCTTTTCCCTATATATTATCTGCTGTCGCCTAAC